ACCTTTTGACTTTTGATTGTGACATACGGCTAACCCTCACCCCCTCAAATTTGAATTCATCATAACTCTCTGCAGAATAAGAATTTGTATATTATACATGTATCATGTCATGGTCAATGACGTTTTCCCAGTAGACTACCTAAAATCCAAAAGCCCTTTGAAACCAAAGCTATTGGTAATTTTCCGTATCTAAAGAATAATTCTGACTTAAAAAATTAGCTATAATCTTCATATCAATCTGCTTATATTGTCTTTACAATTGGAATATATATATATATATATATACACACACACACAGCTCAGTCCCATTAGTTCTCTAACCTTAGAAAAGTGATGTATCCTCTCTGTGCCTCAAATTCCTCATTTACAAAACACAGTAATAATCATATAGATAGGTTATGAAGGTTATATAAATTCATGTAAAGTGAGTGTTTGGAAATGTGCTTAGCACTTAGTTATTTATAAGTGTCTATATCACCATCATTATTGCTACTAATTAGTGTATTTAGAGGTAGAGTATATTCCATTGCAAATTTATGAAATGACAATCCTCTTTTCTTAAGAACTGTCAGATTGAGGGTGGCATACTTTCGCGACAGCATGGATGGAACTGGAGAGCATTATGCTAAGCGAAATAAGCCAGGGAGCAAAAGAAAAATACCATATGATCTCACCTATAAGCGGAACCTAACCAACAAAACAAAGATGCAAGGAAAATCACATCAACAACACTGAAAGGAAAAGAAACCAACAGAGACAAGAGGAAAGGAGGGAGGGGTGGGCGGGGGGGAAAGGAAGGGAAGGGGCAAGTCAAGGAACATATAGCAAGGACTCATGGACAAAACCAAAGTGGGGAAGGATTGGGGGGGCAGGGGAAAGTGGTGGGGGGAAGGCAGAGACAAATGTATTTGGAAAAATAAATAAATTAATAAAAAAATTTCAAGATAAAATATTGTACAAATCACTTAAAATGGAGGTAGAAAAAAAACAGGATGTTTTCTTCCTTTAAAACAAATGTTTCCCTAATATGTTAGAGTTAATAAATCATTATGAAAACACATTTAAATTTGGAAGAGTTAATGTGCTAGCAGTATGTTTAGTCTCAAATAAAAGAAACTTCAAAAATAAAAGCTCATTTGAGGGAAAAACAAGCAAAGTTTGCTTTGAAATTTATATCTATATCTACTACAGTAGATAATCTATATGCTTTTCGTTGGATGCTGGGACCTAAGTGTGTGTGTGTGTATTCTTTTTTCCCAAAAATTACATTTGAAACTCAAGAGCTCCGATTATTTTTTTAAAAGCTCAGTTTTTAATCTAAATCTTCCCATCTCTGCCTAAATTTTTCCCAGTGAGCCTCATTTGGTTATATTTGCTTTGGCCTATCCTTTCCCATGTATTAGAACTTAAAAGGGAATTTAAAATAAAAAGCCCTCAGGAAGTAACAGTGGACAAGGGCAAATGAAATGTGGGGGTGTAGGTAGCCAATTCTGACCATTGTAGTTAAGATCTGGAAATATACACAGATCAGGAAGAGGAGCTGCATTACAGCGTGATCAAACAAGGAAAAATAATCACCCAGTTAGACTTGGCCAAAAGTACCAGGTTTAGCAAAAGCTTAGTAAAGAAGAGTCATGTTCACCTCAGAATATCACACTGGACCTTTTAAAAGTATGCAGAGACTGAGATATGTTCCATCACTGAGCTACTTAGGACAACAAAAGGGAAAGTGACAGCATCTCTCTTTGAGAATTTTACTAAAGAGTATTAATGGGGCATCACCAAACAGCCAAAATATTCTATTCTGATAAACCATATTCAAAGTAATACATTCTGATTTTCACTGAAGAAGGAGGTGCTGTAGAAAGCTGTACACACAGTGGTCTAGTATCATCTGCCCCTGTGCAATCTTCCTCCTTCTACATCTGCCTGACCTTTCTTTTCAGTTAGAGGCAGTGTGTTGCCAACTATTTTTCCATCTACATCTTTAGTGTGAATGTGAACATTTTATTCTGGACTGTGTCAGTTTGCTCCCATTCAGTAAGCACTGTGGCTGGATTACAGAACAAGAAAATAACAGGTTTTGGGAAAAATATTTTCATTTGGAACAACAGATATTAATAGTAATTACAACATTTTGTCCTTCTTCCTTAGGAGCAGAAGTCCAAGGGGGATCTATCTGACTAACAGTGCCAGCACAGACGGGCAGGAAGAGCCTTAAAGAACTGGTTGAGCAAAAAGCTAATGAAGTGAAAGGTTTAGCAAAAGGTCTAGGAAAGTCAAAGTAAATCATAAGACTGCACGGGGACAACTTTAAATCTTCAGAGGTCTGTGTGATTACTGTTAACAGTGTGCTATTCTACAAGGAAAAAGGAAAGTATTACTGTCACTTCTTTTTTATGAGTTTTTGTTTTTGCAGATGAGAGAAAATTGAGATTACATTAAAATGCAAAGGATGTTAGAATAGGAAGGAACTTTATTAACCTTATGAAGATGACCATATATTCTGGCCTCACTAGGAGTCTTATTTTATATCTCTTTTTACACAGTTATTATTAGTAGCACCCCATTCCATTCTCAAAAATGTCCTAATTAAATGATAAGATACCTGATTATGACATCTATGTAAAATGTCCTCATTTTACCAATAGGGTAAAATCTGTTTCTCCCTGACCCAAGCATGCAGCTTGAATGTATGTACAACTACTAAATTCCCAGGCCATTGCTTTGTTCACTTTACCATGCTACACTCTCAAAGAAAAAGGCTGATAATTTGATAGAAATAGACATATGGAACCTGTAGATTTTACTAAAGGGCAAAAAATGACATCACTACTTTTGAGCTGCTGGAGACACTGCAATTTACAAATGAGGAAAAAATGTTTTGAATGTGCAATTTGTAGTCTACTATTATCTCCACCCCAAGGGAAAAATTCCCTCATTCTCCACATCTGCTCTAAGTCTATTTTTAGCTATATGCTGTGGGTAGACAACTAGTTGTTTCCATCTCCATCTTAGGCACAAGTATGACCATCTTGTTTCCAGCCTCTATGTACTTTAGCCTCCACTCGTAAGTGCTAGAGTTGAAATTAACTTGCCATAGCAAGAATTTTTCATTTTAGAACTGAGGACAGGAATAAACAAATCATTTTTTCTGTCTTCCTTAGAAAATAAAATTGCTAACAACTTTCTTTTGATTGATTACCAACTAATATGCATTTTAATTATTATTCCAAGTTGTGCAAAAAAAAAAGTTATTTTTTAAATCACAAGCCTGGTTTCCAAGAAGCTAAAATTCTAATTACATAAACTTGTTAATGGTAATGAAAACCATTTTATTTCCAATTGAAAATAAAGATATAGTTTACCATATTTTGCTGTGTATAATGCACAATTTTTTTGCCCAAATTTTTCAGGGAAAAATAAGGATGTGCATTATACATGGGTAGTAGTAATTCCAAATCTGTATGTTTTTAATTCTTTTATTTACGCTTATGCATAAAAAGTTAACTCTAAAAACGAATAATAATATCCATATGCAAAATAATTCCCTGCATAATTGGTTTTGTTCCTAAATATAAATAAATAATTGAATTAAAAAATTAAAACAGAAGATTTTTTTCCTCAAAATTTGGGCCAAAAACGTGGGTGTGCATTATACATAGCAAAACATGGTATTTAAAGAGTTAAAAAAACATGAACAGTAATAGAAGTTTGCATATTAAAGACAATTTCTTGAACATTCTAATATAGAAGATATATCATATCTATTAAATTGCCAAATTAGTTCCAAAATGCCCATAAGCACTGCTAATATAAATCAGTAAAAAAGTATCCTAAAGAAAGCTTTACATATTAGCAATTGACACCAAATCAGTCTTTTAAAAAAAAGTTTACTCACTCAATAATATAAACCTATTCACTGATAATTTCTAATATAACTCTATCTTGAGGTTTTATACAAAAGGGAAATATTTGTTTCTGTTTAAGAAATTCTTGAAGAAATTGTTAAAATTTTAACAATGTATTGTTATTGGCACATATTCTCACAAATTTTTATAACTTCAAGGAATAAATGAGGCTGATGTATACACAGGATATGTACGTATATGTGTGTATATATAAATTAGTAAATAGCAGAACTATTCATTAATTTATATTTAATAATTTTTTTCTAAGGAAGGTAGAGTGCCTTCTATATAAAATTAAGTTAAATAACAATTTATAAGTAATTGTCGTGCCTTAGGAACTTATGCTAATTCTTTTTATTGGCAAAGCACTGGATTCATTATCATAAGTTAATAAGTTAAGCATATTTAAAACTTTTCTAGTGAATTGCATGGACTTAATTACTCTACTAGTAAGTTCTGTCAAGTATCTTTCTGGTCAACAACATATTTGCAAGATTCTTTGGTAAGACTGAGTACGTAGTCTGTAATTATAAAATAAAAATCAGGCAACCAGCCCACATGAAACAAACCCACTTATTTTCACAACCTCTTTCATCTGTCAAGCTAAAGTATGTAACCTAAAATCTCTTAAGTTAATATGATTATAAATTTAGAAACTATCATAACAACAAAATAAAATGTGACATAAATAAGAACATCTAAACTAAAGACATATTATCCCTTTACGTCATTTCCATATTTGCACAATGATTTTGTGCTAGATGAGAAAATAGTCAGAGTCATAGTAAATTCAACAAAAGGACAGAGACTGTTAAAGAAACAAATATTTCCCTTTATTTGATTATAATACATCTACCCTTACAGCATTCAAAATAATTAAAATTCTCAATTTACAGGCTTCTAAACAATGCTATTTAACTGAAAGCCAGCCAGCAAATAGCAACATACACTCGAAAAGTTTACTTGTGGAAAGTAGTTTCCACCCCAGTTCATTTGAGTAGAGAGTAACAGTAGATTCGGAATTATCAGCATTTGAGAATCACAACAGTAACACTCAGCAGCATTTTATTAACAGTGAGTTTGCCTTACTCCTTCGCAAGCTGCACACTGGTAGGCTTTGCTCCAATTGGTATTCCATACTTATGCAAAATGTTAACCAAAATCTCCCTCATGTCGCTGTTGTAGGAATCAAAGTCAAACACATTCCTAACCACACTGGAGAGACCTTCGGTGGGAAATTTCTGCATTAAAAAAAAAACAAAACAAACAAACAAACAAAAAACCTTATTACATATGTCATAAAATACACAATATAAAGATTTACAAAACTGATAGAACAAATAATGATTCAATAAACTTTAGCAGGGATTTACAGCCTTGTCTGATAACCAGATAGGAAGAATATATACATTTTCTCTTTTAATGTTTGCTCTGATGATTTAAGATTTTCTGTTTTAAACAGATGTTAGAGTTGGAGGGGGCACAGTTCCTTCTCTCAAGTGTTAGATCATGTTAGATCAAATGTTAGATCCTGAAGCTCAGGACTTGCACTGCTTTCTGAAATCTCCTGACTTTAAAATGAACACCAGATTGAACAAATTAAAAGATACTATTTAAACAAAGCAGAATACTGAATTACTATACAGAAGTAGAGAAGTCAAATATCTATGAATAAATGAAAAAAATAGTAACAGAATAAGACAAGACAGAAAGAACATAAAACTACAGAGCACAGAGAAATAAGGAAAAGCAGAGGGGAAAAAACAAGTGTTACTAACAGCCAAATTCACACCAGTGTAAATTTGCACTAGTAGTGTCCTGTGGGCGTTTTCATAAGCCCTAGGATCTGACCTGGGCTTGTGGTTTCACAGGCAGAATAAAGTTTTCTATATTCCTTTGTAGGTTTTCCTTGGAAGGTTGGGGATGGGGCAAAAATCAAGAGACATTAGGCTGTGACTGTTAGCTTAAAGAGCATTATTTGTTATAAATAGACTCTACATAAGTTTTTTGTTTTCTTTACTAATGTAGACTACACATTATACACGGCTACAAGGCATTTCATTCTTCTGTTCATTTATTCTACCTTATGAAATTTTCTTGCAGTATTTATAGGTATGTAATTAATATTGTTGGTCCCTAGTTTCTTTTCTCTCCTCATGTCTTTTGTTTTCACTCAGATACTACACGCTTGTTGCAAAGTCAAATAGTAACAGAATTTCCCTGATGCCTCACTCTCCTGTCTTCTCCCCAATCCTGCCCCTGCCTCCTGGAAAAAAACAACTTCCACCAAATTTCCTGGCTCCTTGGCAATAGTCATAGCATTGAACTTCACCAAACTCAATTCAAAGGCTAAACATAAAATATTCATTGGTCTTTCAGACTTAAAATCTAGATTGTAACATATCATCTAAATCAGTATATTTACAGAAATTGAAAGACTTGGTATAAATTAAGCAGTCTAAAAAACAAGATTGATGCCTCCTTTTAAACTTATGCAAAGGTGTTTGCCATACCTGTAAGTGCCTGACTATGTTGACAACTTCTCTGGTAGAATAAGGGTAGTTAATAATCCCTTGGTCAGCTAAACTCCTCAGCTCTCCAAAGGCAGCCACAAGCTTCTGAAGGATGGGCTCGGGCACATTCGGTCCATATTGCCTGAGCATCTCAAGCTCCGAGTGGGGCTTGGGATTATCAACGGCATGGCAGCTAAAAATATCACCTGTAGGAGAAAAAAAATTCACATTCTGCATGCAACTGATCCATTATAATGCCATAGGAAATATGCAACAGTAGTTTAAAGTGCCACTGGTTGCTTAATAAAGCACTGCTTTCAAATGCGTAAAACTTCACAGAAAGCCCATTCAACAACAGGATGACAGCAAATGGCAAAAGTTAACAAAAAGGAAACCAAGCGATATGTGGTTTACTCTGCATAGATTTGTTTCTGTTTTAAAGAAAAAATAAATAATACTTGAATACAATCTCACTGGGAGATATCCAAATATAAAGAACAAAAAGGAGAAGCCCTCCTGTGTTTCTGCCAATCCCACTGGCTCCCCACAGGTACCCTGGGTCAACAGCTCAGTGCGTTTATTCTCTCATTTTTTTTAAATGAACATAGACAAACATATATAGTTTTGGTAATTTTTTTCTTCTCCATTTAATTGGAAAATAATCTTTATATGGCTCTGAGACTGTATTTTTAACTTTAATACATGTTAAATATCTTGAGAAATTATATACACCTTTCTCATATGTAAGCTTTATGTATACCAAAATAGAATCAGTATCATCACTTTCTAAATAATTTATATCTTCTGCAGATTATTAGAATATATTTCAGAAGTTAGTTTTGGAAAAGGAAATTTGCAGAGAAAATTGTCTAAATTAGAATCAAGAAAAAAGAATGTAGAAACAGAATATTTCAACTATAATTTAGGCAACTGAGAATATACTAGAAAAATATAATCTATGCTCAAGAGCATATTTCTCATATTAAAAGTTAATGCAATTTTACTGATTCATAATACAGGAGACCAGGGACAAAAGGAAGTTAAAGTAAATTTGCATTATATAATATGTTCATTTTAGAAATAAAGGACATCTAGATCTTTCTTTGACTTTGAAACTATTTGAACCATTGTTTTATCAGTATTACATATTTATAAAAGCAGCTAAATAAAATGCAAGCCATGATAACTTCAAACATGTTTCTCATAGATTAAAGCCATTAAGTATAAATGTGAAGAACAGCTTTCGGGTTTCTTTTTTGTTTTGTTTTTTGGGTTTTTTGCTGAAAATCAAGTGTAACACTAATATAAAGCTATGTGCCAATACTTCTCTAGGCACTATATATCGGTGATCAAAAACACAAAAATCCCTGTCCTTATAGAGTTTATATTCTGGCATAGGGAGACGATAAACAATAAATATAAATGTTAGAAACTGTATGTTTCAAAGAAAAAAGGAAAAGAAAACTACAGTGTAGGGCCTCAAAATGGTGGTGGTGGGGAAGTGAGTCAGGCAGGGCCTCAGGTCTGCCAATGCAGACATCTAGGGCAAAAGTGGTCCCAGACAGTATACAGTAAGGCAAAGACCCAAGGCGAGCATAACCAGATGTTCCAGGGAGAGGCGGGAAAGCAGAGGGATGGGAATAGAATGAGTGATAGGGACAGCAGAACAGAAAAAGAAGTCAGAGAGATAAGAGGATTTCGGAGACATAGTCTGTGCTCTTCTAAAGAGATTCTATGCACGTACAAGTATAATCATGTATACATATCCCTCTTGTGTTTTGTTTCTTATTCATTCAAATGTTAGACTACTATAACCACTGTTCTGACCTATTATATTTTGTAAAAAAAAAATTTTACCAGCAAGGGCAAGCTTATCCCATTTTTTTTTTAACAGCTGCATAGTATTCTATTGTATGGATATAATAGAATTTCTTTATCCAGTCCCATTTGGATTGTTTCCTTTTTTTTTTTCCACTACTATAAGAAATGCTATATTGTCTATCCTTGTACTTACATCATTGCATGGGTAATTCCCTTGGATGAATTTCTTGATGTGAAATTGCTAGATCAAAAATCCTTCTAGGATGCTGAGCCTGCTTCATGTTCAGTATAAGAATTACCAGTATCCAGAATTAACTACTTGCCATAGAAAGAAATGTCCTTTTTAAGCCTTCTAATGATTAAGTTTAGCCCAGGCCCTCTCCAATCAATGTGAATAAATCTGAGCTGGCCTCCAACATTTTCATGGTTAGGAGGTTATGACAAAAACCAACACTAAAAACCATTCCTTATTTTGTGTTTTATTTCTAAGAGGCCCTAAATAACAAAGTATAGTGTCATTGTTTAATGAAACAGGCTCTGGAACCAGAGCCAAGCTTTAACACCCATTACCTAAGTGAGCCTAGAAACAGTTAATCTCTTTGAATGGGGAGAACAAATACTCTCCCAGGTGGCTGGGATGATGACACAGCACATGTAATATTCAGTGATAGCCATTACAGCAGTGCCCCTAAGACAGTGTTGTTATTGCTGTTGCTATTGTTTTTGTTATTATTATCATTATTGCTTTTACCTAAAGTACTGAAGAAATCATTGCCTAGGAAAGGAAATCCAGGTCTGTTGGCCAGAACAATCATCCTAAAATCAGGATGAATCACTATAACATTTTCTCTTCCATTGACATTAGCAGAATCTGAAAAACAAAATTTCTATTTATTCTTTACTGATATTTAGTAATTCTTAATAATATCAAGTTACAGGCTTTAAAATAATGTAACAAGAAGTCATACTGTTTAATTATAAAACAACTCTAAGAAATCTGGTTATAACAATTTGGTTGCAGAAAAAAACTTTTCTTGAAAAAGTTTACTTAAGAACAGAATACTGATAAAGAATATGCATACGAATTATACAGGAACTTGTATTTTTATGTAAGTTCAATGTACACCTAAAAGAGCAAATTATCCAAATGTTGTCTTAGAGTACTTTGCCTGAGATGCTGATTTTCTTTAAAAAAAAAAGAATCTATAGCAAGGGTTGACCCAAAGGACAACTCAAACATCGTTTATTTTTATCAAACCAGCATCTTCATCATTTGCAGAGAATCTGCCATTGTGTAGCCAAGGAGTGACTCCAGTTCGGATATGTACCTGACACTCAACCACACAGAATAAAGGTCTTGAACATGTAGTCAGCTCACTAGTACAATACCAATTTATTTCCAATGAAGAAATTCTACCATAGTTCTTAAAATAAGTAATCTCAAGTTGGCTGGAGGTTTCTTTGTGCAAATGTTTAAGGTATTAAAGCAACTGAATATTATCATTAAAAAAATGATCAGTGTGATGATCCTGCAGTTTTACTTGAGTCTCTAAGAACCTATGTTCATACTTTATGACACCAAAAACTAATCTTTCAATGTATCATATAGTCATGTACTAATATAACCAATAGTTTTAATGTTTGACCTCCCTTAATTTTAGTAGTGGCAAATAACAAGGGATGTGGTCACAGGTAAAATTTAATTAATTAGTTAATTAAAATAAAAATGATTGATAAAAAATGAAAATTTTTAGAAGCAAAGAAAATGAAAAACATAGCCCTAGAATGATGCTTTATGTAACCTTGTTCAAAAGAGCTTTCAGGGGCTCTTGTGTATAAAAGTGCTTACAATCAAACCTAAATTTAAAAATCTTGATGGCCCTTTTACTTCTAGGCTATCTTTAAAAAATGTATCAGAAAATGGAGATAACATCACTCTTTAACCACAATTTTGTTCCAGCCATTATTTCTTGCTTTCCATTTCACTGTCCTCATAATGCCTCACAGAATTCTGACCTGGAGAGTTTGAATGATCCTTCTAATGGATGGTATTTAGGCTGTCCAACTCAAACTCTCATTTTTCCCATAAACTCCTTGTGAAACTGAAATGTTAGAATACTTTTATTACTGCTGAATATCCTGGGCTCAGAAACAGCAATCTTGTAATGACAATATCCAAGAAGAACATCTCTGTGGATGCACTTGTACATTTTTAATGAGGTCTTTTTTACATGTTCTCTTCAAACATTGAAGATTTTAGTTATCGGTCTCAACTTGTTTGATTACTCTGGTATTTGCTATATATTTTCAGTGGTTAGTTATAGATTTTCAAGTCTTTTCATGATGCAAAACTTTTAAATTAGACACCAGAAAATGTTTTCACATTGCATTACACAAAAAATTTTTCTTTGTAGGTCAAAGAGACTGAATAGATTCATCTACCTACATTTTCTCTAATACCACCAAGAAAATAAATAAATAAATAAAAATCCAAAACAGAGGACAACTTTTTCCTGAGGTAGCAATGTGTATGTGTGTATAACGTATCTGTATACAGATACATCTATTCACACACATATGGGATAAATATATATAAAATAAAATGCCTAATTTTTCTAATTATACTGAGATAACAATTTTAGTATTGTAATAGAAACTTACTAGAGCTTTAAAAAATTTCAGATAACAATAAAGAAAATATATGGCATCATAATTAAGAGATGAGTATAATAAAAACTGTATGTTGGTATTCTCAATGTAGGAACACTTGAAATTGATCTGTCCTAAAACTACTATTAAAATTTTCAAAGAGACTATCTGGCTACACAAAATGAAACTGAGAAAGTGAAATTCAGACATTGATTTTTGTAAATGACTGTCAATAAGGACAACTTGAACTTAACACTTTCTTGGAGATAAGTAGCCAGCTAAGGGTGTGATTGGATAGCAGGGATGTAAAAACTGCATATATTAAAAGAAGAGAGGCTTTTTCTTATACTCACTTGCAACAATGCGTCTTCCATCTGCTAGAATCATTTCTCCATTTTCCACTAGAGTTTTTAAAATACAGGTGACATTTGTTGGGGCCTTATCTGCCTCATCTATCACGAGAACATGACCCAACTTTACTGCTTTAACCTTTGAAGACAGAACATTAATCATAAACAAAAATAAAAGCAAACATTTTAGATTTCATCATTCAGTGCTTTGGATTTATAATAGCTGATTATATTTAAGTTATGCATACACTATCACAAAGAAAGTCTGTAGCAGAGCTGAAAACAAAATTTACGGATCTCCACAAAAAGCATCTCAGTTACTAAATTGCTAACTCTGTAGTAATTACTTTATTTCCCTTTAGCAGTAAAATTATTTCTATGTTGGTGAAGGTCACAACAAATTACACACCAGAAGAGCGGAGATTTAAAACAAGTATAACAAATAGGGAAATTACAGTGCCATGGAGGTTAAGTGAGACATTACAATAAATAGTGGATTTTAAAACAGTGCACTTGTTATGGTTCTAAAAGAGCATACATTTTTTACAGATCAGAATGGATTGTGAAGAGGTGAGTATTCAAACAAAGGGTATCAACAGTCAAACTCAAGAATTCCTGAAGCATATTGAGGGAACAGTGAATATGAATGGTTTTTCTTGGCTAGAGATTAAATGTAAGAAAAGAGAGAAGAGGGTCTGAAATGGTAGATCAGGTCTCTACTACTAAAAAAATATGTACTTTCCTTCATTAAGTAATGGAATATGATGAAAAATATATGAGTTCAGACATGATAAGAATGGAGTTTGGAGCTATACTTTAGGACATTTAATCTGGCAGCAATAGGTAGAATTGACTAAAGGGGGATCACCATAATAATTTTGTAAAAAAATGGTCTGGGGACCTGATTTTAGTGGAGAAAGCAGAGTAACAATGGAAACAAAAAGCACCAGATTGATCTGAAGGGTTTTCCAGAAGTATAATCTATAGTCTTAAGAACTGATTAGATGGGAAGAGGGGAAAAATAAAGAAGAAAAAGTCCTAGGTCTTAGGTCACTGAGTGAATGGTAACATTATTAAAAAGAAAGGTAAAAACTAGGAAAACTCTTTGAAACATTTTTCAGAGAACAGACAGGGAGAAATACTCAATGAATTTAAATTTAAACCCAAATATTATATTTTTAATTAATAAGAAATATCTCATAACATAAAATGGACCAAACCATAAACTTTTCTCCTTACACAGTTTGGCAAATAATTGTAAGGAAATACAGGTAGAGAAATAAGTGATTCCCTCTACCACACATATTTTATTCCATATTCTTTTTTTTAAATTTTATTTTTAGAGAGAGGGAAAGGGAGGGAGAGAAGCATCATCGATTTGAGAGAAACATTGATTGATTGCCTCTCATATGAGCGCTGCCCAGGGGATGAACTCACAACCTAGGCATGTGCCCTAACTGGAAATCGAACCAGCGAACTTTTGCTTTTTGGGACAATGCCCAACCAACTGAACCACACCAATCAGGGCTATCGCATATTCTTTAAAAAAACCAATAAAGACTTTCCCTTTTAATTTCAGGGTAAAAATGAACTGAATTAAAAAAGAAAAGAACCCATAGAGCTATTACCTCCAGCCCCTGCCTTCACTTCTCCGTTTAGGAAAAGTCAGGCCCAACCTGGGAGAATTCAGGCAGGAATTCCTAAGACTCCAGCGACAGGGGTCTGGACCACAGGTGCTCTCACGATGGCTTATTCATGCCACTGCTGCCAAGCAGTTATCTACCCTGAAGGGTAGGCCAGGCAGGCTGGGATTTCTTTTGGGCTTTATGTGAGAAGCGGAGGAATTGATCTTCCCAGCTGCCCAAAACATTGGGTCAATATTTTATTTATTAAAATCATTTTAAAAACACACCAGAAGCACTATCTAACTTCAAATTCTATACATTTGAAAAAGAAACAGAAAACTTTTTCTTTTTTAAATTCTGGAATGGAAAAGAAATCATTAGAGGATTTCAATCATTCCCTAAATCTCTCACTCTGGAGAGAGAACAGAGTGAGAAATGATGTTATTTTATCCAAATAATTAGCAATTAAATATCCACTCCCCAAATGACATACAAATGAGTGTTTTTCCAGTTAAGACCAAAATATATTGGAATCTATGGGAGATGCTACACTCCTCCCTGCTAAAGGCTAAAATACAACTATCATTAAAAAAAAAACAAACAAACAAACAGTTGAGAACATTCATATAATTGGATTACTAACCAAAGGTGAGTCTTCATACACAATGAGTCCATCTTTAACAGAAGGCTGAAGGGTAAGGGTTTGTACTGTGGTGTCCCTAAAGTTAAACCAACACATTTTATAGTTAGTCAGGAAATAAATTGACTTTTGATCATGAATAAAAATACGCCTTATCTTCTTTTTCTTCATCATTCTGTTTTTCCCAAAATGAATTAAAAAATAGCAGAAAAATTCCTTTTGCAACAGTATTTTGTAGATATAATATAAATTACAAGGATTTGGGAATTAATCTGGACTTACAGATTATCCAAGTTCTTTACTTCTCTTTTGCCTTCAAGATAAAAAGATTGATCACTTCTCTTTTCCTTGTGACCATTTAACCTCAAAATCCTCTTCTGAGGGTGGAGAGGAGAAATTAAAAGTATATATTTGTATGATATATACATTATTTATATTATATTAAAATAAAATAATTTTGATGGTGAGTTTGGTGATGACTGGCACATCGCATGCCAATTAAAGAATGTCTATGAACTGTGTGCTCTGGCCCTGGCCCAATGTGCCCTCACTAGGTGAAAGCCACATTATCTTACCTGACTTCAGGCATCATGGGATCCATTTTATTTTCTTAAATCTACCTGCTACTATTTACCTGACCCCACTACCCTTTGAGATTATAATATTCAAAAGTATTAATAGTGAGCTATCTTGATGTTATGCACTCTTCACAAGATGAAATATGTTCATTCCACCCATGAATACTCTTGTCAACAATGTGTGCTCATGTGCTGTAGGTGATAAGTAGCTCCAGTCATTTTTAAGGGGATCAATTTTATATCTTCAGCTTTTACATGTACTCTATCTTAAAAAAAAAAAAAATCCTATGGCCACCTTAATCACATCATACAGAGAACTAGATTACTTTTAAATGTCAGTAGCTCCTTTCTTACAAGAGTTCAAAGTAATTTTTTTTCCAAACTACCCTACCACTTAGTCAAAGTAAAATATAAAGATACAACTGTGTTGTTTTGACTACCTACTATATGTAAGACACTGCTTGAAATGGGAACTTCAGACTTTACTGCTATAATATACTTCTGAAACTTCTATCCAAATTCCAAATTCAATTATAATTTATTAAAATTATAAAATGCATATCTATTAGGAAAAAATAAATGCCACATGAAAATCACAAACAAAGCAAACCTCAGATACAAGTCAAATCTTTTTTTTTGTTTGTTTGTCAAAATCAGTCCATTGCTTTGAGAGGCAGAGTTGAAGTGGTGGAAAGAAGACTCTGGAGTCAGACCAATCAGGGTTTAAATTATAGTTCTTGCCAATTATTAGCCATACTGATCTTGGGTGAGTAATAACACCCAGGAGGTTCACTGATAGAACACCTGGAAAGTAGCAGAGTATATGGCAGGTAGAGAGTGTACTTATATGTCAGCTATAACTATTTCTTGTTATCGTTATTGCTGCTCTTGTTACTGAAAGTTGCTTGCTTGTCTAACTTCATCTTTAAACTTTTAGCGTAGACAGCATTTATAGGGACTCCCCTCCTTGACACTTTGTAGGCCAGGTTAGGTGGCATTGTCTGTTCCCCTGAGCCCTGGATCTCCCCCTATTTTAGCCCTTAACACACTACGCTGTAGTTGCTCTTTTTTAAAAGATGTATTTATTTCTAGAGAGAGGGGAAGGGAGTGAGGAGAGGGAGAGAAACATTGATGAGAGAGAGAAACATCAATCAGTTGCCTCTTGTAGGCACCCTGACCAGGGACCAAACCTGCAACTCAAGCATGTGCCCTGACAGAGAATCAGACTGGCAACCCCTCACTATGCAGGATGACATCCAACCAAGTGAGCCACACCAGCCAGGGCTGTAGTTGCTTATTTTAATATCTACCTTTCTACACAGATTGTAAGATTTAAGAGTGTAAGACCATATATGCCTTGATCTACCATGTGCCTCATCCTGTCCTAATGGATGTCTGACTCATAAGATAAAGTTAATAAATATTTATTGAATAAATGAATGCATGAATGAAATGAACAAATTGCTAAAAGTTGAAAAATCAATTGTAGCTTATAGTGCAACATACAGTTTATGAACTTCCAAATTCACTAGATCATGGAACTCTTTTTGTAAATAGAGAATCTGGAACTTCAGAACCCATTTTTGTAAATCCTGACTTTGATTAAGGCTAATTTTCTTAGAAGCAGGAATCTTTCTTACTCATTTATAACTGTGTATTAGAAAGTACAGTCATGTTGAGAAGTACCTTTAGGGTTCACTAGTCAAGGGACTGAGGGGAAGAATTTTTATGTCCATCATGGACCCCAGTTGAGTTGAATTTCACTCATTATTGTAGGAGGTAATTTCTGCATCAGAGTCTTCAGTTACCAGGGCATGAGCAGGTATGTTAACAATACAACTATTGACATTTAAAATTTCTAGACTGCCTGCCCTACTTGCACTTAGCTTGAAAGGCTTCTCCCTCTAACTTGACTAAGTGGTAACTGATTTCTTTAGTGAATTCCCTGGCAGTCTGGCATACGGCCATCGCTGACCCCTATCCCAAGCTCCCAATCCTGTGATCCAGGCTCTCACGGACTTGGTGTTAATCCCATGATTGACTGCTTCCTATAGCCTAGCATTATACTTTACAAAAAATCTATTATTATTTTTTAATGTTTGTTAAAATTCAAATTAAAACGTGTCTAAAATAAAGCCCTGAGGGATTTAAGGAAAGTGAAAATATATTATGACAATTTATTGGAGCTTATCAACTTTTTGTATGAATAAAATGTTTCTCATGTAATATAATAATATATAGTCATATATCCATTTTCCATATACCTGAGGAAATACTTTATGCTATCTTCTGCTAAACATTAATTTTTAGAGTTTTTTAAACAATCAAGAACAGGATTTAGTTAATCTTTTTAAAAATAATTCTTTATTGTTATTCTATTACAGTTGTCCTGACTCCCCGCCTCCATGCCCTCCTTTGCCCATCCCACCCTCTGCTCCCACAGTCAATTCCCACGCTGTTGTACTTAAATTCACTGTTAATATCCAGCAATACAGAAGAGGGTGGGTGAAGAAGAGAAAATGATGTGTTCACACAGATTTTTATAGCAACATAGTGAATTTCTCACTTCAGCTGTCACATACTTAATGGGCAAAAACATGACACCTTCCAGCACCAAAACGGAAAAAAACTTTTGTATTGTTGTTGGTAGAAAAGAAATTCAGTTATCCTAATAATTATAGTGTTTCATATGAGATTAAGAATAGGAAATTCAAGCTGAATTCCAACTTGAAAAAGGCAAAGATAATTGCTCTATAACACTTGAATCCTGATAGCATAACACTTGTCAAATTAGATTTCTGAAAAGACTTCTATGCCAGAAATCAAAACCATACGTTTGAGTGAACAAGCACAAATTAGAGAATAAATACAAATGAGAATTTATAAGATAAAAGGAGTTTTTGTTCTCTTCCGGTGACTGATCCTTTTGACTTATACATGAAATAAAAAGCAAAGACTACTAATTACATAAAAATTAATTTTAAAAAGTAGGTTGACTTATATCTCAGTATGTCTCCCTGATTATATAAGAATATATAAAAAAAAATCTACTGTCTTCTGCATAGCACTTAATATAAGAATCAAAATTGTTTTCCAGATATCCTATAAAATTATAAACTTCAACTTAGTAAGTGATAAGGTGATCACTGATGTTACAGGTAGTATATGATTTTATTGAGTCTTTAAGACTGATTCTTTTTCAAGGTATTTGATTTGAAATAAAATTATTTCTCTGTATTTATGAACACTACAAATCAAAACAAATTAATTCTCCACACAAATGAGCAATAACCTTAGAAGACTACTTTATTTGTTACAATTTCAATTCCATTATAATTTGTTCCTTTCAAGAACAGCTTTGAAATATAAACTTATAAAAGTTTAAATAGAGTCAACAATTTCAACACTACTTGGGGAAAAAAAGTCAAAACACATCTAGTCACATGTCCACAGTCTAAGATTTAACAGAGACGGCTTCACAGTACATAAAAGTTGCCAGTATACTTGAAGAACTAATTAGAATATTCTGCTAATTGCTGCCATTTATATTAGCACTTACTATCTTATAAACTACAGCTGTCTGTCAATTAAAACCTGTGTTAATAATAAAGGGGCTACTCAAAGAAATATGGTACTAAACTGTAAGCTTCTTTAAATCTGTGATTTTAAAGTTTTTAAAAATTGGAGTAATTAATGTTTCAATAGAAATGTAAAATAATTCCAGAAGCAATAAAGTAGTTAAATTGCATAAGGACCCACTTTTTTTGTTTGTTTGGTTGGGGTTTTTGGGGGGTTTTTTTTTGGTAAAAATAAGGAAAGAAGATTGGCTTCCAGAGAGCAAGTACAATCTGTCCTGACGTGTTGCTTGTAAAGGTATATTAAGCTAATATCCTCTAATATATGGAGGAGCAAATGATATCAAAACAATGATGTTTATTTTGAGGATGATATCTTAGCTGTATTTAATTGGTTTATGGTTAGCTTTATTTTAGAAAAGCAATGTTAAACATAAGAATGAAGGAAGAAATACACACAAAGTTTCAAATAGCTGACAAGAATCTTCTCTAACTTTATAGTTCATTAAAATAAATATGGCTATACCAAGAGTCCACTCATTAATATAAGCCAAACATGACAAAAGAAAGGTATGATATGGCTTATAGGAGGCACTTTACAAATTTAAGAATTAATCGATGTTTACAAACACTGTGGGCTTTCTAATAAATAGCTATACACCACCTTCCTACCCTTGCCTGTAAAAGGCAAATTTATTTCACCATGTAGGGAAAGAAACTTCCTGAGGCCCTCAAATAGAAACAGTCATTATTATAAGCAGTGTTGCCATCCAATATAAAAAAAGGGAGGATATAAATAAGCTATAATTACTGCAGTGATAACTAAAAACCAGCAGTGGCCTAAAGCTGAATCCTCCTAGTTTGGTCAATCACTTCACCTCTGGAAGCCCTAGATAACTCATCACTACGTAGGGAATTAAAATAGA